ACGTCACCACCTCTCGCAGGAGCAGAAAGTGTGGTTCGTGTGTTGCGAGAGAGAGCATAACAAGATCGGCATCAAGGCCGTACATGCAGTGGGTTTCGTTTGGGCTATACCCCGGCTGCATCTTTCGGCGGCGAATGAAGTCCACAATCTTATGTTCCCCCTCGCCCGGGTTATCGTGGCCGGAGTACACGACTTGGCAGTTTTGCCACGCTGGATCCGTAGCAATCTTCATTGTGATAAAGTACTGGAATTGCTCACTCACCCGCACCATAAAATTTGTCCCAGGCGTAATGCAATTGCTGTCAAATACGTCCTTCTCATCGGGTACCTCTTCTCCTTGCGCAATAGCCTCTTGTCGGGCCACCATCAACTCGTAGCCACTACGATACCGACGTTGACGCTGTTGGTTCATCTTCGCCCTTGGCGCCACGCCGTCAACAGCCAAAAAAAAGTACTTGCGCGGCTGAATCACGTTGAAAAGTTTCTCCAAATAGGCAAACATCGCCTCCATCATTGCCTTCTCTGTCGGTGACTTCTGCGTTGCGTCCACATCGTTGGTGTGGGTGCAGTTATGAATAATGCCATTCATGTCAAGATACAAATTGTCGACAGGTGGCGGGGAATCACGGAACGGGGTGATGACAGTCGGGCAGCGCTCCGCAACCCACCGAAAAAACTTTGGAACTCCCATGGATGCACCTCCGTGACACAAAGACACAGAAGCACCTTAAAAAGAAAAAAAAAAAAAAAACAATGAATTTGTGCAAAATTCCTTTTCCCTTCTTTTTCTTTTCTCCTATCTTTCTCTTCCCCAAATGCCGACCCTCTCACAAATACACACGTTAACCGCAATTATATTATATAAAACGTAGCAACTACTCAAATTACTATTGTTATAATTGTTATTATTATCTGTAGGTATAAATATACAGATGTACAACAATAACAATAATAATAATGATGATGATGATACCGATGAATAGCAATAATAATTGCCTGTGCGAAGTGTGTGACCGGAAACAACAACAACAACAAAAAAAAAAAAAAATAGATAAATAAAATAAATAGGGTATAGGCAAATAGGGAATAAATGCAGAGACAAGAAAAGAAAAGAAAAAAGAAAAAAAAAAAAAGAGAGAAAAAAAAAAGGAAAAATCTAAAGAGAAAAAAAAAAAAGAAGAAGAAAAAGAAAATGGGAAAGAGAAAAGAAACATGGCATTTCAAAAGAGAAAAAAAAAAAAAAAAAAAAAAGGGAGAAATGAGAAGGCGTAACAAAAATATCATTCAAAGAAATGCTGCGTGCTACATCGCACATACCGTCCCATTACTTGTGTTAGCACGAAGTGGCTGGTAATGCAACAAGGAGGAAAAGGGAAGAAACACACGTGACAATCCCATTACAACAAAAAGAGACAAGAAGAGGAAAAAAGGAAAAACAATGGGCTTTACATCTCTCTCATGTAAAAAGCAAACAAACAAACAAAAAATTTTTTGTCTTCTTTCTCCTCATCCGCCTCCCTCACACCTACTCAAATACATGCAATATATATATATATATATATATAATATATGCACGCGGTCACTCTTTACCCCTCCACCAACTCCACACATTCCCTCCATTTATTATTATTTTTTTTTTTTCTCTCTCGCTCTCCCCCTTCCTATACATAAACAAAAAGTTAAAAAAAGAATAGCTACATGCATGGACGTTAAGCACACATATACATACATACACACACAGAGAGAGACAAACATATATGAAGAGAATATCTAAAAGAAAGTTCTCTACGCCACTTTGTTACCCTGCTCTTCTTCAAAACACACGGCAGGCTTTTCTTTTGACTGCTTCAAATCCTTATCTTGGGGTGCCGTGGCATCATTGGGATCTTTATCCACGGCGTTGTTGGCAGCAGTGGTAGTAGCGGCGGTAACCCCCTCCTTGACGCCGGTTTGGTGAGCACAAGGAAGCGTCGCTGCTTTTGCGTACCGCCGTCCCACGATGGTGCTGTTTGACTTCAGCGCGCCTGTCGTTGTAAAATCCTTCTTAACGACGCGGTTTCGTTGATTCACCACGTCAGTAGCGCGGGCATAATCCGCCGTGTAGTCCCCAACCTGGTACACCTCAGCGCAATGGCGATGTCGACTGTTCGCACAGATGCCAACCTTTTCACGGAGGTACGACCGCGGCAGGTAGTCGCAACTCTCCTTCATAAAATCACTCTTCACATTCCGCACTCCTTGCGGATGATCACTAGGACGCAGCAAAAAGGCGTTATGGCTCACCGGTGTAAAGTCATAACCAGCCTGCGTCAGTACCGGTGGCGGGCATTCCTTGTACAATAAATGTGGCGCAAAAGTGCGTGGAAGTTTCTTCGAGCAGGTGTGGTGCCCGCGCTCATCGACAAGGGGCTTCAAAAGCGGAAATAAGCGGGCACGACCTGCCACAGACGCCTCAATGGTGCTGACCTTGTACACGCCGTTGGGGTCATATGTACCGGTGTGCTTCAGTGACACAGGATCATTTGGCTTGAGGCGCGCGTAAGTCTCAAAAGAGCCACAAGAGAAATGAATGCGAGCTTTCAGCAGTCCCCACGACTTTTTGTTCGCCTCCTCAATGACGTCAAGAGCGTCACGGTATGTGGCACCCCTCTTTAATGTGTGTGTCGTCCATTTGGAGAGTGGGTGGTCACGTGTGGAGGTGGTGTTGATTTCCTCTATGCGGTAGCCCTTCTTGCGCAGCTCCTTCTTCGGCGGCAGCTCCAGAAGGGCGTAACTGAGCGGGACACTCTCCGTTGGGTCCTGCACTTCCATGCCGGTTTGCATTTTCCTTCAAAGCCTCACACACACACACAAAAAAAAAAAAAAAAAAGTACTTGATTAAAGGGAAAAGACAAAAGCAAATGGGAAAAAAAGGCAAATTGATAATAATAATTTAAAAAATGGGGACTGAGGATCGCCCAAAAAATTATATACACAATTATGTTGCCATGCCATGTTCACTTCAACTCATGTGGTGATGCATGTAAAAATCAACGACAGAAGCGCAATTTGCGCAAAAGGCGCGAAAACTCAAATAAACAAAGAAATAAATGGGCATATAGCAACTCTTGTGAGAACGACCTGAGTACGTGAGAGAGTGTGCCCGGCTTCTGCGTCCATCCACTCACACAATGTGAGGGAGCAAAAATCACTCATAGAAAAAAGAAAACAAAGAGGAAAAACGAAAAAAAGACACCACCACAACAACGACACGGTTTGACAGCCGCATCGGTGCTAGAAAAGAGCCTCCATGTCAAAAATGTTCACTGGGGCGCCTCCAGTTCTTTTGCGACTCCCCACTTTCGTTGAAGTGGCGACCATGCCGCCCCCTGGAGCCGCCACCCCCGCTGCCGTCACGTTCGCGGGTGCCTCGTGCGCAACGCCACGTCGTCCTACACGTCGCCTTGCGGCTGCAGTCCTGTTGAGCAATTGATGGTGGTGCGCCGTCGCGTCAAAGGCGTTAAAGCGCAATTCGCTTGACCGCCTTGCCGTATTCTCCACCGTCACCGGGATGATGTCATCGGCGTCGATGTCATGCGTTGTGGACAGCACCGTGTTGCCGGGCAGGCCGCTCGCTAATAGCTCCAACTCCACCGTTTCACCGCCCAGAGCCAAGTTTTGCTTCCGAAAGCACTTACCACCTGACGGCACTACGGCAGGACTCATACCGGTGGGGCCGTCACCACCGCTGCCGCCGTACGCTTGGAAACACGGATACGACGGAAGAAGGGGTGGGTCCAACAGGAGGAGGTCCTTGGCGTCGGGATAAGCCGTGAGCTCGCGGGTTACCCAACCGTCCATCTTCTCCTCTTTTTTTGTCTTCTTTCCCGTCCGACAATCCGCATAGACTTCTGCCGCCCCCACCTCACCATCGCTGGCTGCCTCTAAAAAAAGAGGATTTGGATCGGTGCGCCTCCCACCGGGACTCGCAGGAGCGTGCGGCCGCTTCACCCCCGCGGTAACTTTCTTCGCCGTTACAGTTATTTCCTCGTTTTTATTCGCCCTCGGCAAACGCGGCATGGGGTTCTCCGGGAAGGGCGTCAGTATGAGTGGTGTCGCGCGGACGATGCTCTTGATGATGTCAAAATACTCCACGCAACAGAGCCCCAGTTGCTCCCGCATGACAGGCACAAAGTCGAGGAGTGGAAGACGCTCTCGGCTGTTGTACAAAACAACATGAAGCTGGTGTTCGGCGTAGAAAGAGACAATAACCCGCTCGTAATGATAGTCGTTATTTAATTGTATCAACGACTCATCCAACAGCACCCGCCCTTGGGCACAAGGCAGAAATTTCCTCACCTCCTCATAAAGCGATCGCTGCACAGTAACAAATGTGAGGCTGGCGAACAGCCGCTGGCGATCCTGTCGCTGTGGCGGATACAAGAGCCGCAGCCCTTCCGAATCATCCACGACTGACTGCACCTGTGGGTGGGTGCCACCAACACTCTTGTCTTCTGTCCCATCATCCCACAGTTTTGACCAAAAATCCGCAAGTGGCGGCGTGTACACCCGCGGGTCCGGCAGCGGCACGTGCGGTCCCTGGCGATTCCGCAGTGCCTCAAAGAAGGCAGGCGTCACGATGTCCACGGCGCGACACAACATGGCAATGGTAACAGGGGTAGGCGTAAGAAGTGAGGTAACAAAATAGTCCGCTCGGTAATAATCGGTCACGACGTGGGCACCGCAGCGACGCAGGTAACAGTTCAGCTTCGCTCTCTGCTCCTCTTCGAGAGCGAGCGTAAGGACACGCATTGGGGTCCACCGCAGCCGCAGTCTCGCGCCGTGTGTGCCGAGATTGATGGAGAAGTCCCACCACGAGGCATTTTCACAGGGCACATGAAACGGCTCATCTTTATTTAACTTCTGTGGCGACTGTGACAGAAGCACCTCCGCCTCTGCGTCATCGTTGGCACTACCTTGACTACGGCATAGCTGCAGCTCCCTTGTGATGAGATCAGTCGCCTCACGCCTGATGCCGTTGCTACACGGCGAGGAAGGAGAGACTCCAGTGCCATATTTGGACATATCTGTGAGAATCATCTGCGCTGGCGTCTCTTCTTCATCCTCCACGTGCTCTTTTCCATCTACCGCTAATATCTCCCCAACATCCATCCTGAGATGTTTTCGGCTGATGCTCGCGTCATCTTTGATGATGATTTGACAGTCCTTCTTTCCCACCGTGTACGACTCGCCGCCCACAAGCCAAAAACAGGCCTCACCCTTAAAATATACAACCCACATCGAAACCACAACCAGTGTTCTTCCCTCCCTCTTCTCGCGCCACTGTGCCCCCTCCTGTTTCTGTCACACACACAACCCCCGGTTATTATTATTATTATTATTTGCCTCCTCTTCTTCTCTCTTTCTCTCTATCTCTCTCTCCCTGTCTCTATCTCTGTACGGCTTCTCAAATGGGGAAAAGGGCGGGCAACAACAGAGAGTTAGAGAAACGAGACTTTTTGAAAAGGCAGCCACAAGACAGTTCTTGGTGAAATGTAAAAAAAAAAGGTGGACAGCTGAGTAAAATCTACGCACAAGAAAAAAAAAAAAAATGTAGCAGAATGGTGCAACCGCACGTTTTCACTGTTCTTCTCTTCCAACGAATCCCTTTACTGTGGGTTCCCACTGGTAATGTACACACGACGTAGCGGACAATAAACGGAGTTTTCTTCTCTTTTTTTTTTTTTTTTTACTGCGCTTGCGGCGGCGGCACTTGCGCTCCATACAGGTGATCGTGCTGCGACACCGTGACGCTTAACTTTGCCCTCTTTACGCCCACGTACACAACAATGCCTACAAAAACCGCGATGGCCACCGCAAATGCAACGTTGATTACAAACCAACTGAGCGAAATGGGGTCCACGTGCTCCTTCGGACACTCTGTGAGATGCGAAAGGCAACGGCCTTTCTCCAAACACACCTCTCTGCACTGATCGTCTTGCGATGCCGTTGGTGCGTGCCCCCCCGCACTGACAACCGTGAAGAAACACGGCCGGTGCCCTTTGACCGGATGAGTGCAGAATGTACCGCCGCCACTGACGCACCGGGCGCATGTTGTCTCCTGCGCGAAGCAATCAGTAATGCCCAGACACTCTGTCCCACAAATACATTTTTTTGCCGGCCAACATGTCATGTCATCGGGGCACCATCTTTCAGATCTATTCATTGTGCAGTGAGCACATGACGTGATGACTACACCCTCCGTCAGCGCCGTGGACGGCAACAGCAAAACTACAAGAAATGGCATTAAAATTATTCGCACAGCTCTCACCATCATCCAAACTACCCCGTCGACGTTACGCTGTTCGCACAGCACCCCACCCCACACTACCCTTCCGGTATTCACTTTCTTTTTTTTTTTTTTTTTTTTGACTCTTGTTGTTATTGTTGTTGTTTTCATCATGGGAAATTTTAAAAAAGTGATACAGAAAGAAAGGAAAAAGAAAAAAACAGAAAAGGGATGCGTTGGACTCACGGCACACGTATAAAGTCCCACCATTGCCAAAGCGATAATCGCAACAATAGACAGAGCGACAACAGCAACAACAATAACTCTGGTAAAGCACTAGAAAAACACACATTGGGAGCTCCCGCACTTTTTACTTGTCATCTGCGGGTCGTCCGTTGAGTGCGCCCATCACCGCCAGATGGTCCGCCATTTCATTCCCGCAGACACCGGCGTGCCCTCTCACATGAACCAATTGCAATGCCAGCTTCTTCGCCAACGTACTCGCCACCACAGGCAGCAGACCAAACTGTGACACCAGCCATTCACCGTAGCGGGTTGCGTGCTGAAGGCGCATGGTGTTTAGTGGCTTCCAGAGATCGCAGTTCAATACAGTCGACCCATTTGAACCGCAAAAGCCGTTTTGTAGCCACTTATGCATGTAGAAGTCCGCACCCCGAATGGTGTACATGCTATCGGAGAAAACGCGCAGGTTGTAGCAAGACTCGGCTTCTAACGCAGTGCGAAGGACATAAATGACGGCGTAAAGCTCCGCTCGGTTATTTGTCTGTGGCTCGTCGACCGGGATTGGAAGAGAGAAGTTCCGCGTGTCATTCGCCCCGTAATAACCGCCGTATCCACCGCGTGAGAGTTTACCCTTGCCGTTTGCGCGGCACGCCCCATCGACGTACACCTCCACCGCCTCCTTCTCCCTCGCCCTTATCCAGTCAAGTGACACGTGCTGCAGCAACTCCGCTTCTCCCGCCGCGTCCTCCACCACCGACAGTGTCAGCGGCGACGGAGATGCTGAGGGTCGGGACGATAGGCGCGGACGTTTTCTCCCCGCCGTCACCGCGACAGGCTCAACACAAAGACGGTCCTGCTCAGTCGGTGCATGTGCCGCTACACACGCAACATAAACTGCGCTTTTCGCAGCACCCCTGTTGCTCGCATCGTTCTTCTTCAAAAGAAACGCCTGCGCCTCCTCCAATTTCTTGAAGGACTTGAACAGGGCGTTTGGGAACCCATTCACATAATGGCGACACTCATCCCACGACTCAAAAATGCCTGTCTTTAGGCCCACTGCAACGGCGTAGTACTTTTTCCTTGACGATGACGACATCATCGTTGGTTAAAAGACCGACCACAAGCCTTGCCAATAGAAACGTAGAGAAAACTAAAAAAAAAAAAGAAAAAGAAAAAAAAGAAAAGACAAATTCACATACTTATCCGCCAATCACAAAAGAAGTGCACAGGAGGAAATTATATATATATATATACTTTTTTAAAACGCAGACATTTCCCCCCACCCACATGCTTATACAGGCATATGTGCGCATATCCACTGAGAGATGTATCACCGATATTCATACATGTACAAACACCCATGTTCCCCATTTATTTATCTATTATTATTTTTTTTTTCTCTGCTTTCCAGATTTTACGATAACGCAGAGCCTGCGTGTCTAATGGGCTCGCATGCAAAAAGTTCGTCCTGGATACCTCTAAGAAATTCTATCAGGCTCTTCAACTCCCCTTGACCATTCGGCACCTTCTCTGCCGCTGTCTTCCACAGCGACCCTTCACGCTCGCTAAGGCGTATTTCCAGTTCTTGTAGTTTGCTCTCGCGCGATAACAATTCCCGGGCTGCGGCGCATTCTTCCGCCACAGACGCACACTGCGCGTCCAACTGGCTTTGCTGGCGACGCAGCGAGGCCTCCCAACTAAGGAGGCACTCGCGCTGCAGCATCAGCTCGGACTCGCGCTGAGAACAATTCTCTTCACGCCGTGCTACGGTGGCCTCCTTTTCCTGTAGAACGCGTGCACTGTTGTGGATGCGCTCCACCTGCTCGCGGGTGTCGTTCAACAGACGTTCCTGCTCCTCCTCCAATTCACGCTGGCGGACGTCAAGTTCTTCGGCACGCGTGTCGAGAAGTTCCTTTTCCTGCCGCTGGGCAGTGAGTTGTTGCGCCACCCCCCGTTCCCGCTCTTCCAACTCGCACTTTGCCTCGTGCAACTGCTGTCGGTACGCGTCCGTCACAACCTTCGGAGCAAGACGCTCCTGTAGAAGGCGCAGCTGCTCCTCTCGTTGCGCAATCCTCTCCTCCCGCGCAAAGGCTTCCATTTCACGCCGCACAACAGACTCCTCCCGCTGTAGTAGTATGGCCTGCCGCATACGGATCGCAATGTCTTCCCTCTGCCATGCGGAGGGGGACGTTGGAGACAGGGGCGAATGATGCTCCGGCCGTTGCTCTTCCTTTTCTCCTGGCGGAGGAGGGGATGAAGTCGCAGTTGGCGACGCATCATGCCAGTCATCCGCAACGTCAAAGAGAAATTCCTGCCGCAGTTGCAGCTGGCTGTCACGTGATGTGTCCCCCTTCATTTCCGTCAATTCCCCCCGCCTGCGTGCAATTCCAGCGGCAAGACGCTGAGGGCTGGGGCTCTCAGCGTGAGTGCCGAGCAGCTCCGCCACAACCCGTCGGACAGACACGGGAGAAGAAGATGTTGGCATGTTGTCTCCGTCACAACGCGACATGGGTGTAAACATTTTTACTGGGAGTCGGTACGCATAACCACGCAAAAACACAAACAAAGGACGCGTCTCGTTCAAATGTCGCGGGCACAAAAATTCTACTTTTCTGCCTTTAGCCCAAAGTACGTGCAAACTCCAAACGCACATGCACCCACGCACAGCGAGAGGGTAAAAAAAGAAAAAAGAAAAAAAAAGAAACCCGCCGAAAGAGAAATTGCAACAACAACAACAAAAATAAAACACAAAATAAGAATGGAAAAAAAAAAAAAAAAGAAAAGACAAGCAAAAACAAAACAACAAAAAAAAAAAAGCAAAGTGTGGTGGAAATACAACGTGTCATTGTCGGTTGCTCCCGTAATGTTTTACGCATAAAATGGATGCTTGGATAAATTTCTCCTTCATCCCACCCACGCCTTCCCTCTCACTTTGTGTCTCCCGCCAACTGCATGACGCCCGCCACAAAATTGGCGTACGAGAGCAGTTCGTGACCATCGGTGGCGTCAGTGCTGCCAATGGACGCGATGCTGCGGCAGAGATTTCGCGACGCACGCACGTGACAAACCCCCTCCGCCTCCAAAATGGAGTTTACAACCTCAGCGCATGTATCACACAAAACGTCTGCGCGGCCACCGCTCTCCTGAGCAAGCATGAGAAGTAGCCTCCGCGCAAAGGGCCGCAACGCACGACAGAGCTCCACCACCAACCACAGCGGCGCCAAAACTGAATGTCGTGTCTCTAGATGATGCGTCAATGACCCATTTTTTTCCGAAATCGGAGAAGAAAGCATAGGGGATGAAAAGGAAAACGGCAATTTGCCCCAAAACTCACTAACTCCACCACCCTGAAGACGATTATCATTCTTCGCGGCAAGACGACCCAGCAGTTTTTGTAGCGCGGCCTCGCGCCGAACACCCTTAAAGCCATCCTCATCGCATTCGTCATCAAAGGAATTGCTTTCCATGGGAGAAATAGACGGGGGCAAAGACGTCGGGTAAACCACAACGTCAGAACCACGTGACGGCGGTGACCCCGTTGCATTCCGTTGTAGCGGCGACTGTGAGTGCAACAACATTGTTTCTTCCTCTTCTGCCGCTGCTTCATGTGGTGTTGATATGGACTGTGTGCCGTCAACGTTATCGCCTCCACCCCATCCTTTATTTGTGGTCAAAAGAGGAGACTCCAGACTCCGCACCAGCAGCGGCATCCCCTCATCCACTCCCTCGGACCCCACCGTCAGATCCAGGATGATGGACTCCTCCATGAGAACGTGCCAGTCGACTAATTCCGGTGCGCTGGTGTCGGGGGAAATGGCAATTTCATCCACTGTTTTATCCCGGCCCTGTGATTCCCGTGGCAACTCATGTAATTTGGCGGGTGGAAGTAGGGGAGAGAGACGGGGCCCACACAACTCCGCCGCAGACTGTTGGCCGACAAAGTCAACGCGTGTAAACACGGCGCCTAAATTACAATACACTGGAGACGCAACAGGATCGCGCTGCTCCCATTCATCCGCGTGTTTTCTCTGTTCTTCTTCTACCAGTGGCAGCGACCTTGCACTAATAAAACGTGGTGGCGGTGAATACTTAGCAGACTTCTTCCTTGGCGGCCTGGGAACCCTCGTGTAACTCCCAGGAACGGGCAGAGAAACCTGCAGCCTAACGTCAGGGGAAAACAATTGGGCGTCTAAACCGTATCTCCCGCACTTTCCCTCTCCCCCTGGTTCATTTTCCCGTCTCATCAGCATGCTTTTTGCGCATTTGACGGCGCCATCATCATCATCGTCGGGCAGTGGTGACGTTATCCGCCGACCAAGCCGTTGATGCAATCCACGCATCGAGGTGGATACAGTCATTTCATCTTCCGGCCTTTCTGGTATAGGTGACTGCACACGTGGAATTTGTTGCTTCTCCAAGTCATTTTTTTTGTCTTGAGGTGATCCTGCAGCGCTACAGAAATCCGTGTACAGTTCATGTGGTGTCGCAGAGGCTTCGGTATCCCCAAAAGCCCGCTGCAAAAAAGAGGTCGACGCACACGCGTGAAGGCATACCGCGTCCTCCCTGTTTTCATTCCCCTCTCGTTTGCATGTCGCTGGGAAAAGTCGCTCGGCGCCTGGTGTTTTTTTTTCATAGACACTGTTTGGTCTATTAATGCACTCACCGGCCAACTCGACATTTGCCGATGTCAACTTCGCTCGTGACGCGGCAGTTGCATCGCGGGTAAAGTCTATAACACAGTTAGGGTTTATTTCCTCCATCCGCGGAGCCCTGCCGCCGATCCTCGTGTCATCACCGCCTCTCTCGCCGCATGGTGGTGCAGGAGAGGGAATATGCAGTTCACTCTGCGGTGTGTCTGTTATGTAATGTCGCCGCTCGTCTAAGCGTATAGGTGTCCAAAAGATGCGGTCACTCATCCAGCCACTTAAAAAAAAGAAAAAAAAAAAAAACCGCAGCGCAAAGAAAAAGAAAAAAAAGTTTTCTTGCCGAAGCAGCAACCTGCGCGCGCCAGATTACACACAAGCACACACACACACACACACACACATGTGTCTGAAGAGCGCAAATTAACGTGAAAAAAAAGTGCTGAACCCAAATAAATGTGCGATAAATAAAAAAAGGTGCGTGCCAATTTCAAAAGAGCCGCCACGAAGAGAAAAAAAAAAAAAAAAGAAAAAAAGGGTACAGCAGGGAAAGGAGTAAAGAAGTACATACAGAAATAATAGTGGCAATAAGGACTTTAATGAAATCAACGCACAGAAAGCCCTTCCCCTCCCCGCCCCAATTTCCCCAAACATCCAACAAGAAAAATACTTTCTTTTCTCCACGTATACGTGGAAATACACATACCAATATATATATATATATATATATATATGTATCTAAAGATATAGATACATAGATAAATGCACTCATATCTTCCCTAGTGATACACGTAGTTGTTGTGCACGCCGACCAGCCGCACCGTCGCCAAGTGTGTGGGCCCGCTCAAACAACATCAGCGCCTCTTCCAGACGGCCGAGAAGTGTCTCGAGCAGCACACCGTAATTGTACAGCGTCATCACATCGGACGGATCACGCTGCAGCGACAAATCGTACCACTTCGCTGCTGCCTCATAGTCTCGGTCCAACGCCTCAGCAATGTACGCCTGCGCACGAGCCCCTATGGCACTATCCAAATGGCACCCATAGACGTCATTCCACATGCGCCGGGCCCCTTCAGGGTCACCTTGACGATAAAGGGCCCACCCCTTCGTAATATCCTCCTTCGCGCGCCGAATTTCACTCGGAGGCGCACTCAACGCGCAAAGGGCGCTGTTACTCTCACTATTTTTCTTCGTAAGGACGTTTGAATTCATAGGTTGATGAATCAACCCCTCTTTTTCTTCTTCTTCTTCTTTTTCTTCTTCTTTACTCGCGCCCGAGGCGATGGCAAGGTACTTGGCATATAGGCTGTTTGCAGTGGTATTCTTTTCTGGTTGCGGCGTCTTCATAAGATGAGTTGACACACCGGTGCCAATGCTACTGGTGCAACCGTAATTCTGGCGGCTGTTCGTATTCATGTGAATTCCCTCCATTCTCTGCATCTTGTCTTCAATTTGCTCAAAGAGGGGGTTCACTCGAGTGCCCGTGGCTGCAGCGATAGTGAGGGCACCGTCGTCGTCCCGTATTGCTGTTCGTGTCCATGCGTAAGGGGCATCCGGCCTTGTCCCGTTCTCTGTGACATTGATTTTGATGCAACTCCTTCGGAACTCGCCTCTCAAGTACTGCAACTCGTCCTCCGCCTGCACGCGCTGCAACGCCGCCAATACCTGCAGCGGGTTAGTGTGTTGCAGAGCCGTCGTCACATTTTCACTGAGAGTGTCGGCTGCCTCTCTCGCTTTCCACACGCATTCACGGCGTAGTTTAATGTCGTTGAGTTGATCCTCCTCTGCCTGCTCCAAGGCACGCAAAACAGCCGCAACACGTTCCTCCGCCTCGCGACGAATCCGCTCCACTTCTTTTTCCGCCTCAAGTCGCCTTGCCGCTATGCTCATGTCGTCCACCTCGCGGACGAGGTCAGTCTCGCGGGCTTCAAGGTCCACCAGAAGCTGGTGTACATCACGCTTGTAGTCAGCGAGTCTTGAGCGCGCCTGTGCAGCCGCGTCCTCAATCGCGAGCACCTCCTTCTTGCGGTATTTGCCCAACACAACGCAGTGACTGCATGCAAATGCATTTTCGTCAGCCACGTAGTACTCCACAGCCCGTGACGGATGGGCCGGACACGGCGTGACAGTAACATCCACATGGCACTGCACCATGAAGCGAGGTAGGACCTGCTGCGGGTCGTACACAGCCACCGCCTGTCCACCGCTAGCATCATGAAAGACGCAGCAATCCCACTCTGTTCGGAATTCCTCCGTTGCCTCACGCGCCGTCTTTACTAGTGGTGTGCAGACAAAAGGCTTGCCAATGACCACGTCACAAACAAGAATACATGTGAATTGTTTGCGGTTCCAGTTTTGAAATGGGAGACGGTGAAACACGATGCATGGGTTCCTTCTTGAATTGGGCTCACCCGCAGTTCCATTAGCACCGTGTACGACAATGTCACGCAGTCGATGGTATTCACCAACAATAGCAAGCCGCTCAGTCGCACGCTGTTGTGCCGTCAGAAGTCTATTGGCAAAGCAACTTGCATGCTCTCTGTTTGACACCATTGTTACGCTCACCACCTCCAGATTCAGTTCCTGCAGCCCAACCAGATTGAGAACCTCTTTCATAGCTGTACCGTAGTACGCGTCACTGGGTGTCAAAACTTCTTCCCGCACAGCAGCACGCAGACGTTGCTGCCACTGGTGGATCAGTATGTCACGATCCGGCTTTGTGTAACCCATGTTCTCCGCCGCCGCGCTGAACGAGGCCTCGCTCATGTAGTACACGTCTGACGGTTCCCGCCCTTGACGCCTCAGCAAGTCACAAAACCCTTCCCAAGACATTACAGCGTTGTTACCAAAATTGACGCTCCTCGTATCCTTTTCTTTACCGTAGCTGTGGTCTCCATTTCCATTGATGTCGGTCTCTGTGGCAGCCGGCGGATCAAAGTGGGACACGCTCAAAATAACGGGAGATGTCTGCTGCCTCTGGTGCTGTGAAAACGGTTTTCCCTCCTCTTGTCGCTTTGCCCCTCCATTCGACGATATTTCTCGCTGCGGCGACCATTTGTTTTCTGCCGCCCGTACTGGCGGCACTGATGCGGGGCGAAGCTGTCGCAATTGATATTGTGTCTGCGTCAACTCGTAGTGTGTCGGTGGAAACAAATAACTCCGCGGGTCCGGTTCTGGGCCGTATTTCAGCGTCAGCGCCTCAAACAGTTGAAATGGGGTTTTATTCGACTCACGCAAAGCGCGCGCCACATCGGGAGTGGCGGTGCTCACATTGTGAGCCCTCAAAAACACCGCCAGACGTGTCTCCACGTCAATGTTGTCTGGCTCCGGCCCATTGTCCAGCACGAGGTTGTGCATTAACTCTTCCTCGCGATTCTCCCACTCCTTCAGAAGCAACGGCACCTGAACCGCGTGTTCCCGCCCGTACACACGGAAAAAGTCCCTGACACGTCGCTCGTAGTCCACAAGTGCATATTTTCGATACAATTTTGTGAAGGTTTCCACCTCGGGGATGCCACGCACGACGCTGTCGACAAGGTGCAGCCCGCCCGGGTTATATTGCGACAGAAACTCCGTGAGACGTCGCCGGTACCCGGCGGTGTCTGAGGGTGCCACGGTGAGCGAAACGCCCACCCGTCCCATCTCCGTCCCCACAATGTGCGTCACAATCTTTCGCCGTTGCACCACATCGGAGACGTCAATAACAAGATTCTTCTCACACGAGCCGACGACGCGCTCACATGTTGGTTGCCGCTCCTTAACAAGCAGCATTAACTCAATTGTGGGGGCGTTTGTCGACCACTCGGCTGAAACGGCGGCACCGCGCTCGCCACGACCGTCGAGTTTGACCTCCAAAGGATCCGCAGCGGAGGCCTGCACGATGTCTCGCGTCGTAAACTCCGCAATCACCTCCGGGCATTCTGTGAGAAGAGTGCCGTTGCTTGACACGGCACGCGCAACAACAGAAAAGACACGTGCGTCATCACATTCGCCATTGCTGCAAACACCGCAAGGAATATTTACGACGTTGTGAAGCTGAACGAGGACCTTCCAAACGCTGCTCATAACGAAACGACACACCGCTTTTGGGAGCGTTAAACACAAATACACACAAAAAAAAATAATAATAATCAGCATAAAAAAAAAAAAAATACAAACGTAAATAAATAAATAAACAACGCATCCCACGTGCACTAAAAGAATAAATATATACATACGTTAACAACAATGACAACAACCGCTAAGAAAGCGTCATCATGGTCATCACCATCATCAATATCTGCACCTCAAAAACAGAAGACACCTACCGGGTGAATAAAAGAAATGTAAAAAGATTCACCGGTCTCATTTATACGGCCCCTGTCTATTTCTTGACTTTTTCTTTCCATTTATTCCCACCTGCGGCACGCCCTGTGCTACCCACTTTAGCTTCGCTCTTCGCCTCTTCACGTTTATCTCGTTCCCTCGCGTGGAACATCTCGTCCACCTTACGTTGCTGCATCTCCTGTTCGTTCGGTACCCAAAAGAACGGCTCCTTTTCCGCCTTCAACTTGCGAAAATTGGGTTCCCAGTCAAAATTGTGAAGTTTCACATGGTAGTCAATGCGTTCCCGCTCCCAATTATCCCACTTGAGAAACACCTTCTCCTGGTCGTCGTGGTCCATCGCTCCTGTGGCGGTGAGGTTATGCATATGCGTCATGATATCCATGTCGTTAAGCACCTTTCCAGGTCCCTCCAGATCCAACTGGGAGCAGAGAAAGGACAGCTCCTCGCATATGTTCTCCGTATCGCCCCAACAGTAGTGACCACCACTACTCCGCAAGCGCAGAACAAGGGGTCGGGCAACAGGGTCTGTTCCTTTACGCCGTCGCTGCTGACGCAACTTGGCGACGTACTTCAGTGTGTTCCACGGCGGCACACGGTCGTCGTCAAGGCAAGTGGAGATCATCATGCCCGGGTATGTGACGCGATCATTGATGTTGAGATAGGGATCATACTGCGTCAATCGAGCGTAATCCTCTGCGCTGTGCAGCGGGTCCCCCCAGTCATCGCGCTCCGCCAGTGAGAGTGGGAGATCAGGGTCAATCATTGTGTTGATGATGTCCAAAAATGGCGAACGAAGAAGGGCGTTGCCAAAAAGCCCACAGCCACGCATATTCATAGCAGCTGCAATGGGGACGCAGCCCGCGCTATTCCCTGCTGCCACCATAAGCTCTGGCTTGGTGTAACCCATTTTAATCATATGCTCACAACATGCAATAAAGTCATGAACGGCGTTGATCTTGTTCTTGCCCTTCCCCTGTTCCCCCCAGTTGGGCAACTCACCCCCACCCCGCACGTGGGCAAAGGCAACAGTCCAACGCCGTCGCAGCATCCACATGTACGGTGCGAGCTGGAAGTGCATCGATGGCACCTCACCATATGAACCATACACATAGATAAGACAATGCTTGGGCGTGTTGGGCTGGGCCTCAAAGTCGGTCGCCTCCTGCACAAAAGCATCGCGCCGATGACAAATCGTTATAGGGATCTGTGTGCCATCCGGAGAAAGACACAGATCACGATAGATGCTGTACGGCCACATGTAGTCCCAGGGTGTCAACTGCTCCGACTGACGTTGCGTAAAGAGAGACTCAGAATTGCACACCCGACTCTTCTCTGCTGTCATCTTGCTATCAAAACTAAATACACAATCCCTGCTCGGCTGGCATATACTGCTGTAGACAAAACTCATGGAATCCTGATTAAAATTTTTGTTCAGCCCCGGCGTCACTGAGGTTAGGGGCGGAAAATGCAGCACCAGGTCATCCTTGCGCGCCTGTCGTGCGGCGTCATCGAGCCCCTTGTCGCACTTAATGATGTGGATGTGGTTGATGCGTTCAAACGCAAAGTGAACTTCGTAGAGAACAATTCGACCCTGAAACAGATCCATGTCTACAATCTGCACATCGTCTCGGTAAGGAACAAGTTCCTTCCACTCGGCGCGCATGCCATGTTTTAGAACAACCTCCTCACGCGCATAAACGACGCGGTGATTCGGCCCCTGGTCGGCCACCACCATAATAAAGTGGCCATCGTAGTGCTCCAGCCAATTCCAATTTTCCTTTCCGGCAATCTCCACCGGTCGACCATCGCGGAAGAATGCCTGCAGCTCACGTGAAACCTTCGGAAACGAGGCTGGAAGAACAAGGGCACTGCTCTTGAGTTTGGAATCAGATGTAATGATGATGTACGCATTATCCTTCGTCTTGTGAACATCAACGAAGAACTGCTCATCATCCTCACGGTACAATTCCACGGGCGGAGGAAGAATGCCTGGACGAATTTGCTGCATAATCACTGTGTATGGGCGGTTGAGGTCGTTAGACTCCGTAAAGTAAAAATAATCTCCCGAGCCAAACTCAATACTCACAATGTTTCGGCCACGAATCACATGAAATAGACTGGCGTTATCGATGCTGCGCACGTGACAAATGTATCGATCACCACCCTCCACGGAAAGTGTATACGCCACGTACCTTCCGTCCTCTGAAACGCGGCAGATGCCAACATGGCATTTCTCGTAGCCAAAATGTTGCTGTAGCGACGTTGGATTGATGAGCTCCTCCGCAAGTAAATCCACTTGACCATACCGTTTCCGATAAAATCCAATGGCGTTGGAATCGCCCCCTGGCACCACGCGTGTGAAGTACACAAATTCACCAATGCGTTCCTCACCTTTATCAAAGCCACCCTCTCGGCTTGTGACAACTACTTTGGAATCAAGCTCCGCCCACAACCGAGCCTTGGTGTGTTTGAAGTCAAACTTAGAGTCAATGAAAGCGTAGTGGTGCTGCTCACTTCTCACGTAGCTCTGCGTTCGCCGATCAAAGAGATCCTCCATGTACTTGAACGGGTCACTCTGTGTGCGCTCCCCCCACAGCAGAAATGACTCGGGCACCTCATCCGGTAACGGGCCGTCCAGGAACGGCAGCGGACATATGTTGCGCGCGTGAGGGGCAAACCGATTCAAGAAATATCGGCACAGCGTATACGCGACATTGGATGCTGGCACCCACGGGTACAATGCGGCCATTTCTCCTCTCTTTTTGTTTCGTTTTATTTGCTCTTCAAAAAACTCTTATTGCCCCGCACTTGTGGTATCTAACTCGGCGCGTGTGACTGTACAATTAAGAAACAGTAGTGACCTCTGCACAGTTCCCTTCTACTCGGCCACACCTACATTGTTACACCCGCCCCATCACACAACAAACAAGAATTCAAACCACATGTCGCCAAAAGAATATAAACAAATAAAAATACCGACAAAGAAAAACCAGGGAAACCACCCACACATACCAATACACAAAAAAATCCACCGAATAACAAAAAAGAAACCCAAACAATTTGCAGCATGAAATGACTTGGTCACTAGTTCAACCGCACAAAAATATTGAATCAGAATAGAGCACCTGTAAAGAAATGAGCAAAGCCAACTTCGCCCAACGTTGAGACTTCCGTACTGACCAGCACAGAAAAATCAACCCCTCGGTTGCGGGCCGGATCCTGAACTGATACGCACGAATAAAATAGGACGGGAAAGAAGAGGGCCATGGAGAGGCAGCGGCCTCGCCACATCCTCAATGTTTCTCCCAACTACATCTATATGTTCGGGTAGCCACCCTCGTGCCACGGTGCGGTGTGTTCGGATTGGAGAAATTTATTGCTTACGAGTTGGGAGAATTTGGGCCCTCCAGCCACAAGACCCCGCCGCAAGGTCGGAATCAAAGAGGGTGGATGGCAAAAATCAAAATAAAAACAAAAATAAAATTCGTCTTGCCGTTATCGGTTCCTTCCGTCGGGGCCTTTCAAAGGACCATAAGATAGGAAAAGGATCACACGGAAATACCTCCCACGGTTTACCAGGAAATATATTAAATTGGGCAGCCAGCCCTCTCGATAACATTCTTCTCACATGCACTCAAAAATACCAGCACCCATCTACGCAGCGACACGCATACTTGGTGAAGAGAGGTCACAGGAGAAAAAAGTATAAAAACAGTCCAACTCAATCTTCTCTAGCACAGGACAGGGAAGACAAATAAAGACACCTAGTGCTCCCGTCCTGCTGCCGCCATGGCTGCGACGGATGCATTCCGTGGTCCACGGCGAGCCCAGCACGACTCCCCACTCCCACGATCATTCATGACTGACGAAAAGAAGGTGCCGAGTGCGTCTTTCAGTTGCCTCCCGCGTCGGGCGAGAAGGATCACGTCGGGCGAGCCTCCGCAACTCACTCCGTGCGCGACCTCCGCACCAATAAGCTGGGCAAAGAGGACACGGCTGGGCAGTTTTGCCGCCCACTCGTAGGGCCCGGCCATTCCCCCGAAGCCAAAAATAAATAATAGTAAAACCCAGGAGAGGCCTGTCTGCGTGGAACGCCGCATCGAGGGTCCTTGTCCCCGCCCTCAGCACAGCAGTCACGGACACCCCCGCACCCATTGGGTCACAGCGACTTCCCATCGCCTGCCCGCATCAGAAGACGCACGTGGGCGCATGCGGTGCTGGGACTCGTCTCCTCCCTCCAGACCACCTCGCCACCACGCGGTTGCGCAGAAATTCATTCCGCCAGCACACAAATGTCCGTTAAGCCACGCATCGCAGGCACAAGAAAATTAATATACTCATCGTCCGTTTTTCAGAAGCGAAGAGAGGAGTAGCGCAACAGTTGCACGATGCTATTGTTATCGCTGTGCTGCGTCTCGCGAGTGCGGGGTCGACGGGGCCATGTGCACATCATGACCCTGCCAAACGCTGCTCGCGCATTTTCTTTTTTCGTTTCGCTCGTGTTTTTTCGTTTCCTCAAATAAATATGATGCCCCACCCGCCGGCCGCCATCGCAGTGCACGTCCGCCCCGCCACGTGGAGATGTGGAAGAGAGCCCCTTCGCCCGGAGACGGAGCTGCAGCGGAGAGCGCGAAGCACAACCCCGTGACGCTGCTGCTCGATCGGGGTGTGTCCGCAGTGCCGCTCGCCACACCATCCACGCTGCCCAATAAATTTATTGGCGGCAAAACCCCGGAATCAGAGTCGCCGCGGCCGCTTCCTCGGAACCTCACCCTCGTCTCCTTCCGCATCCTCCGCGGATGTCGGGTCGTCCGCTAGAGGCGGGTCAACGACCGGTATTGGGTGGCTGCTGATGTTCGGGAAGGCGGTGCACACATCGGCGTATTGGGGGCACAAAATGCTCCCACGCCACGGACCCGATGGCGGCGTGACGGTTTCACCCTCCTGGCACTCGTGCCACGCATCGTCACGAAGGAACCGCACGCTCACTGTGCCGTCGCCGCATCGAGTGTCCACGCACACATCGCCAATATATTCGTCGTCGAATTGAAGTTCCTGCCCCTTCACGCACCGCGAGTTCGGACCAACAACACTGCCAGGCATTACGGAAGGATCGCCGTTGGTGCACCCAGTATCAGAATACGCCTCAACATACGGACATCTGCTCATGAGGAGGTCATCACCGCCAACTCGGGGATCAGCGAAGTACCGATACTCCTCTGGCAGCGCTTCCTCGTGCCTCTTCAGGTCACAGAACCCCAGAGACAGTCGGTCATACGTGCAGAGAAGACTTTCATCGTCGTCAAACTGGTTGCAGAACAGTTCAGGGTATTCGCTGATGCCGTCGGTCATGCACTTCTTTTCCAGCAGCCCACAGCCAGAGTTGTTGCCCCACCACAACAACTCCGCCGCACTGTAGTTTGCCAAAAAAACACCCATGTCCTCAAATGCTGCAAGCGTCAGTGCCGAGTACAGCCCAACATCCATATCACTAGTCATCATCTCGTCCTTCATGTTGCGTTTCCTCCAATGCGACAGCAAAGTGTCAGAACCACCCTCGTCCTCCAGCTCAATGCCCTCAAGCGTGGGGCAGTTGGGTACTGACGCGCCATCGCCTTCGTCTTCGGTGTTGAAATCACCGACACCTTGGAACTCCCGCGCACGTTCAACACCTCGGAAATCA